GGTCTCCTTAAGTTCCCTCTAATATTTAAAAAACAAAACATTACATGAACCAATGCATCTCAGTGAAACTGACCACCCCTGGTTGCAAATAGATGGAGATTTTTTTTCTAATCTGGTAGTGCGAGGATCTGTTTAAAGTATGTAGATTATAGAAACTAGTTCTCCGGATTCCCAGTTGTCACAGTCACAGATGGTACAGATTCACTCTGTCACAGATCTGGGTCCTTCAGAGTCTTCATTATTTGCTCTTACTCTAGCTGCAAATCTTGCTCCTGTGGAGTCAATTATTTGCTCTTTTCACTTTCTTGGAGCTATTTCTTTGAGTTTCATTTCGATTCTTTGAATATGTGTCATAGTATAGCAATTATATTAGATATTACCTTTTTTACACAATACATTACAGTAATATTTATATAAAATAATAAATTAATACTTTTATTTATTTACTTATTTTACTAACACCTTGTAATCTAGAGCTCTTTAATCTTTTTTAGAATTAGTATATATTTATAAACATAAAATTTTCCATCTAATGTACTTTTTCAAGGTTTCAGAACAAAATGTGGACCCTACCAAATAGAACCTTGAGCAATATTTGGCATCATTTTGTCAAATTAGAATAAAAAAAGGAAAATGCTGGTATTGTCAATTGATAGTGAGCGGTGAATCATTGAAAAGAAATGATTCACTTTCAGTGAGCAAACATTTCCGATCTGATCCCTTAAAGGAGCGATTTTCTCCATCTCTAATCAGTATTGATGGTAAGGGATACCATTAGGTACACATTTAACTTATTGCTTTTATTTCACTCATAAGTACACCTCTTATTAATCTCTAGGCTACATATCAGCGCACTTTGACCAGCCACTACTGTGGTTTTACCGTATTTGACAGCATATAAGACGCACCCTTTTTAGACGGCCACACACAAGGAAAAAAAGTTTCAATAGCATGGTTTCTTTTAGTTCTCACGTTTCGTAAAAGCCAAATAAACAATTATTGAATGCAATTACCTTCATGTATAAGACGCAGGTAACTTTTTTGAGACCAAATTTAGGAAAAAAAGTGCGTCTCATATGACGTCAAATACGGTAATCCTTGAAATATCTTCAGGTCCATTATCACCTAACTTTTTATCAGGAGACAGTTTGAGACCTACGTTTGACACTGAGACCTATATTGATCTATGTTTTCCTCAACACACAGGGTGTTCAATTTCTGCCTTGACTAGCACATTCTCCAGATCTCTCACTAAATGAAAATGTTTGGACAATGGTTGTGGAAAAACTTGTGCAGCAACAGCAGCCATTTAGCGCAACAGATGAATTCTGGCTCTAAACTGAAACATATGGACAGCAATACTCATGACTGTCATCCCAAATCTACATGCTTTACTGCAAAAAATTACATGCTCATTTGCATAAATGCTGCTGTTTTTGCCAGAGGCAGATGCTCTGGATCAGGGTTTGTACACATTTCTGCACACAGAAATTAAGTACTTTTAAGGACCATTAATGAAAAAAATTAAGGACCTATGAGCAAATGGAAACTGAATAAATTAAATTGAAGATATTATCTATGCCTGAATTTCCCTTTTGCAATATCATCTTAAAAATAAAATAGATCCCTAAGTAGTACGCATTATTACTAAACATGAATTAATTAACATAAGTGTTAATAAGTTTGAGAATAAAATAAACTTTATGCAATTTTATCAAGTAGCATTAAATATTTTACACTTGTAATTGTCGGTGATATTTGAAAGAAGATAAGTGACAATTACGTTTTACTAAAAGTTAACTTTATGTTGATTTTTGTTATGTCTCATTTTGTCACATACTTGGACCGTCGAGAGGTTTAGTAAATAATCAGGTAGATTTTATGTCAAACTGCACAGGTTAAAATGAGAAGTAAGATCATAATCAGCATGATTCATAACAAAAGACTGAATGTTGTCACCGCTGCTGCTTGTTTAGAGAGAGACCTGCTGATTAGAACAAACCTGAAAGGCCTGATTGTAGGCAAGGTTGGCAAGTGTTGAAAGTCAGGTTCTGTTTGATGCAGTTAGTGTCGTAGCTTCGTGTACATTTCCAGGGGTTGTAACCCAGTTAATATACTTTAAGGTTCCAATAAGCCATTAAAGCACCAGAGGTGATAAGTTGTTTTGCATTATTTTAAGTCTAAATTAGATGCATAGAATATGTTTTACTTGAATTTTTACATTTTTATAATTTATCTTGTGACCAGAGTGAGTATTAATGAAAGGCAATAACTCGCTTTAATATGTAGAGATAATTTTTAAGGGTAAGCAGTTAGAGATAAATAATTAAATTAGGTAGTTTGATAACCTTAGTCATTATTGATTTACAAGACCACTATTAAATTTTATTTTTTAACAATATTTGTTAAAAAAAGCCCTATTTAAATCAAAATCTAATAAAATTTCCCAGTTTAAAGTATATGTAATTTATGACACAGATTCTTAAACAATATTAAGATAATTACACATTAAAAGCTACAGAACATTTATGTTTTGTAACAGCAACAGTCAACAAAATATTTATCCGTCATTTTAATTTGAAGCCTTCCCAGACATTTTGGCTAGTTTATATCGATTTCCTTCCCTTTAAGCATCTTACTAACAATTAGAGATTTGTCTCAATATGCAAATCAATGCTCTCGCTAGTTTCTGCATCTTTATCTCCTAACTTGTCAACCTTTTCACAATGTACCTATGAGGGTTTAATTGATCTGGTAAAAGTTAAATAGTCCAAAACTCCCTACAGGCATGAAGCATATTATTGCTACGTCTGAAATTAACTACAATATCAGACAAAGGTTTAAATAAGCCTCTTATTTCAAAAGAGCTTAGAACATAAAGGCATGTTCTGATGCTAACAAAATCAATTACAGCTCACGGTGATGTAATTAAACAAGAACCGTCAAATTCACACTAATAATGTAGACTAATGGTCAAAGATTACACAATTTAATTTTAATTTAATCTGGCTCAATAACTCTATCATATGAGGAAACAGAAATGGAGAATTAAAGTAAAGGTTGAAATCATAAACAATTGGGTAATTTACATAATAATAACTGCATATATCTTTGAAGAATAATTTCCTTTATGTATTCAGTTTCTTTCTTCAACACATTTCCTTTTCATTTTAGAATTTTTTAGTTTAATTAAGGATTTCTGTTATTCTAAAAAACACTAAATGCATTTAGAATGTACAGAAAAAGCAGCTAATTTTATTTCTTTAGTAATATGAACATTCAGAAGCAATATGAAATATATATAGTAAACGCTGGTTAGAACTGATTTGGCAAAATTTCTAGAAATTAGTGACACACTGAACAACAAACTCTAGAAATAGCAAAACTTTTAGAATTTAGAGCAGGCATTGGATCTGCTTCCAATGCCTTGAAAATCTGCTTTTGAAAAGCACTTGGCAACAGAATTTAGGATAAACAGAGATTGCATAAGGTGGGAAAATGCCTAGTGCCAGCTATGTGTATAATGCTAGCAACAAGTGAAGCTATGTGCATTAAGAAATATTAGATGAATCTTTTAAATTGTAAGTTTTCAATTTCTTTATTAATAAAAAAAATCCCTTTCTATAATGCCTGCCCATGTGACAAGATCAGAAGCATTTTTGATATTTTCCATGCTTCTGAAAAGTGAAAAGTAGAGAAAATAAAAGAGTAGATAAATATGTTAAGATTCTAGTATCAGAAGTAAAACATTTAAATATTATGTTTTCATTGTTCTTCCAGATGTTCTCCAAAAATTAAGAAATTCATTGAAAACTTTCTGTAAAATACATCCATTACACGTTGATACTATGGAGACATTTTGTCATATATTTCTCGAATCTTCTAGAATCGTGGGTTTATAAATCTTGCCTTCAAATCCTTCTAAACTTTCCAAGCTGCAATGTCTAAAATCCTAAAGAAAAATTATCCCTACCAATTCTGTAACAGCAAAAAGCCAGAAATATTTTGTGAAAAAATAGGAGGGGAAAAGTATAAAATTAATTTTATAGAGAAAACTGATGCACATTCTGAGAATTTTGAATATTCTGAGACAATTACATGGGAAAAACTCTTACTATGAAAAAATTAAAAACAAGACATTTTTAATTAATTACATAGTTAATTTTGCTTTTGCTAAGAGCTGTTTCGTAAATTGTGCTTTATAGCATTATACCTTGTTTATTTTATGAAACTTTATAATATAACAGCAAAAAATAAAAATGTCTTATTTTACTGTTATTTTTTAAATATAATTTAAATATATTACCATTATTGTAATGAAATTAATCAATTTTTACAATGTTTTAAAAAAAATCATCGAAAAATTCTTAGATCTCGGAATTAAAATTTTCTATAGAAACTGATCTTAAAATCGCCAAAATGTTGAAAAGTGGCGAAATTTTGAACAGTTTAATAAAAGAATTCACATCACCAAAAGCGAAAAGTTGTTTCAAGAGCTCTTTATTAAAAAAAAATAATAAATTTCAAAATGCTTATGTTTCACTTCTTGCTTAGAAACTCGAGTATCCCATCATTTATATTAGAAATAGAAACAAATTATAACTCATGAACCCATTCAAAAGATAACCATATATACGGCAGTGAATCGAAAAAAATATTCCTCAAAATGCTAATTCACACTCAAAATGACAGTTGTAAAAACAGACAGAAATTTCAGATGATTAAAATTAAGGACCATACAAACCCTGTGGATACTGATTTTTGTATGTTCTATACCTCAAATATGCCTAAAATTTGGATAATTTTATCATTTTACTTTTATACATTTGTAAAGTATATATGATTCTGCTAACTGCTTTCTCTCATAGTATAGCAATTTTAATGGCCAGCAGAGTACATTTCGTTTGCAAAGCAAACTTTTGAAAGGTGACATGAAATTGTACGTAGTTTAAAAGTAAGGAAATAACAAATGTAAAAAATATATATAGCCATATGTATACCTTCCTTCAGCAGTTAGAGCCAAAGAATGATACTGGCCACATTCTATCTTTATTATGGTCTCAGACTGAAGACTTTCTACAATTAAAGGCTGAATAGCTTGCTGAACGTCACCAACACCTAGCTGTCCGAAACGAGAGGAGCCCCAGCTAAACAACTGCAAATTAAATATTTTAACATAAAAAATTTGTATTAATAATTTAAAGAACATACCATACAATTAGAGTTTACGCTGTAAGATCTTTCAGAATTATGTTAAGGATCAATTAATTTGAACACAATAAATACCAATAAAAATAGAAAAATTATTATTTAAACATAAAGGTTATGTATTTTAAAAATATCTCCTTCTGCCTAATATAAATTAACATTACAATGCATTGAACTACAAAGAATGAAATGGGAAAAATAATTTACACTGATTATTTAATCTCACAATGAATATCACACTGATTATTTAATCTTCAAATTAGCTGATATTTCTTTCCGCAAAATATTATTACAGAATTTCAAGCCTCAGAAATTCTAAAATTTGAGAAATCAACAAATTAACCTCCCCTCCCAAAATCTTCAGTAAAAATTTGTAAAATTTACTTCAGTAGTTTTAGATATAAAAAAGCATGGATGCATTAAAATAAAAGCATTGTAAAGTCCCTACAAGATGAGGCATGAATGATTATTATGTATCCCAAAGATGAAATGTGTAACACCAGAAATCTTATTAATTATTCCATCAGCATAAATGTTTACAAAACAGTATATTAGACATATATTATGAAAAAAATTAAGCTGCTTAATATGTTACACTGATAGCATGAAACTAACGAGTTCATGTCATGCAGAATGACAACACCTCTCAGACTCACAGTTTGTCAAGCAATACTGAATACTGTAGTTCTTTTCCATAATATAAGATTAGAGAAAATTTTGATAATAGAAATCAGATTTCATGTTATATACTATATTATAGGTCCTTTCTTCTTATTATTAAATTCAATATTTTCGATTTCCACAATTACAGATTCATATAAATTAAAAATGTTACACATGAGCACCAAGTTTATTCAAATTACTTTTATCATTAATTTTATTCAACTTTGATTTAGTCTCATAGATAATTCGAGGACGTGAATGTAACTTGCATATGATATTTATTACATCATGCATAGCAGTTTATGAAAAGCATTTTAAGCATAAAAATCTACAGCTGTAAAGAGTATAATAAGATATGACTTTAATTTTTTAATTCCCTACATTGTTTTTAATACTATTTATTTTCAGTGTATTTTATATTCAATTTTTTATTTTACAGTAAAGAATAAAACACGATTCTGACTATTAAAATATTTCCCTACAATAATATCCAACTGAATTTCATTATGAATAATATTACCAATAAAATTCAGGGAATTTTCACGAAATCAAGTGAACTTTTTCGTTTCCTTTTCCTTTTTGTAAAATGGTAAAAAGAAAAAAAAACTAGTATTCATAGCTCGTTCCTTAAAAAGAAGCAGAAAGTGTGACTATATGCTGAATATGCTCATAAAATATAAGTTATTACTTGAACATGATAACACAATATTAACATATATTTAATAGATTATATAGAAAACCACAGAAAAAGGTATCTATTTAAAAATAGGTACAGAAAAGGACTTAAGTTACCCAACTCATTACCTATATTACTTTCTACATAATCAATGTAAGTTGTCCAATTATGATATTAACACTACTACTAGCATATTCCTCGCATTACGGAAATACAGTGGCACTAAACCTACTAAATTTTGAGCATATATAGTCCTTCATGTGAATATGTGCCTTTTGAATTCAAAATTTAGAATTTTTTTATTTATTACATATTTTGCATAAATTTAATGAATATTTGATTAACAAATTCAGAGATTTAAAAGCCAGCAGTGGAAAAAATGCTCAACTTAATACACTTTTATTCAATTTCACACAAAACAGGAAAAGAAAATATATATAGTAACCATCTTACTCGGCCAAATTAGATGTCATTTGTATCAATCACCTTCAGGGCTTTTGCACGAATTGCTTTCTCAAATCTCACACATGAATACAAATTTTTTTAATTCATTTTGTGAATATACAATTGATTACATATTTTTTTATACAGAAATAACAACCATATTAACATGGTTGTGGCATAATGTTAACAAGATTAATAATTTTGTTGACATGGTTATATGTTATGTTTTTTACTTGGCTTAGTTTTTTCTTTGATTTATGACATATTTACTTATATTCTTTAAATGCTTAAGTTTTGACTGTTTGTGCATTGTAGCCATTTGATTTAGATATTTATTTTTTAATGTAATAGTACTTATTGATTCCTTTAAATTAATTCTTTATCATACCGTTATATACACTGAAGAGATTCATATTATCTGAAGAGATATTACATTCTGACCACCCTCCATCTATAACAATAGGTTTGCCCAAGAACAATACCAATACACGTACACAGCAGATGTTCGAGTATATAAAGTGGTCATGTGTTGTCTTACCAAACGTAGCACAATTAGTGAAGTAATGGGAAAAGCAGCTGATTTATTAGATTTTGATAAAGGTCAAATTGCTAGGGCTCGGCGACTGGAAGCATCAATATCAGAAACGGCACATTTAGTGAGCTGTTAGCTTGCAGTTATTATGAGCACATATCAGAAGAGATGTATGGATGGTGAAACAGCAAGTCGCCAGCCAGCAGTGTGTCATCAATGGCACATTGATTCCAGAGGAGAGTGGAGATTGCTACGCATTGTTTGCTGTGACTAAAGAGCTACAACAGCCAAAATCACCACCAGCTACAACAGAGGTGAACCAGACACTATTTCTCAAAACATTGTGAAGCGCACATTGCTGCATACGGGCCTACGCAGCCGTAGGCTGAAGCATGTGACTAAACTGATGGCACGTCATAGCCAGCTGTGTCTGCAATGGGCCAAGAAACATCAGAATTGGACATTAGAAGAATGGAAGAAAGTTGCATGGTACGACGAATCATGCTTTCTGGTCCATCATATTAATGGGCGTGTGCTAATATGCCAATTTCCAAATTAAACCCTGGTTCCCAGATCCACAGTTGGACGGAGACAAGCCAGTGGCGGTGGTTTTATGGTTATTCTGTAACAATAATATTTATAGCATGTGTAACGAAAATATTATCAAAAATATCAGAACTATGCCGAGACTACACGTCAACGGTTGTTCTGCACAGGTTCTTAATAGATAAACCTTAATAATAATTAGACACAGTGAGTCTACTATTAGAATATCTGTTTACAATTTCAATATTTATAGAAAAAGAAATAAATCTTATCTACTTGAATTCTGCACATGTTTCTTGACGAATAAACAACTTTGTTAACACTTGACATCAGTATTTTCACAGTTTCACAGTAAAGCAGGAACTAGGATATTATTCAATAAACAGAACACAAATACAATATAATAATTCAATTCAATTCATATCAACATTAAATTCATAGAACACTTCTATCACTAAGCAAACACGGATTAGAACGTGCATGGCAACGTAGAAAACTGATGCCATCCATAAAAAAAAGGATACAAAAAACTCGCGTCATTAAAACATTAATAGTCTCGTGTTCATTCAATAAAGTTATTCATAAAACTGTCTCGTGGATATCTTCCGAAGTTTATTGACAGCATTACGTAACATCCTCCCACCTTGATTTGCCACTTTCGAGGTAAATCAACAAAGTTCGAAAGTTCAATAGCCCAGTCTCTTAGGTATCTTGATTACTCTGCCGCTTCTTAACGTCCGGGGAGCTGCTGAAACATTCTTCTGAATTGGAATGTCATTTTGTGATGTTGCTGGTGGGTCATTAGTAGTATGTTCATCTGGTATTATGGGATCCTTAGAAGAATTAACTTCTAGAGGGTAAATTTTTTGGACTGGACGAACGAGATGACCAAGTGGAGTTTTGACTTTGACGACTCTCACATGGCCGTCTCTCCCTGGATACAGTTCTTCAATCACTGCAAGTGGCCAATTAAGTCTCTTTTGGTTTTCAGAACCAACAAGGACCACTTCTCCAACTTTGAAAATTTTGTCAGATGTGCCAGCTTTTTGCACAAACTGACCTAAGTATTCTTTCCGGAATCGTCGCCTGAATTGTTCATGCAGTTCTTGGCAATAATGTTCTCTCTTTACCAGTTTGTTCCTATCCAAATGATCAAGATCAGCCGTTCCAATCTCTTTTACATATTGGAGAAAGTTGGATGGTGTTAGAGGCCTCAACTCATCTGCATTGTTGGAGATGTATGTTAACGGTGGCTTCTGCGTCGCAAAGAACTGTGAGGAGTTCCTCATACGTAACAGACGACTTACCAAGAACTCAAACAAGTAGATTTTTCACTATGCGAATTAGTCTCTCCCACCAACCGCTCCACCATGCTGCGGTTGGGGAAATGAATTTCCAGTTAATTGGATTTAGAGTTTCAAGAGCAGCTATCTTTTGCCACTCAATTTGGTTCAATGCACCAGAGACACCGATAAAGTTCGTGCCGTTGTCACTATAGATAACTGTCGGACGGCCTCGTCGAGCGATGAATCTTCTCAACGCGAGTGCACAGCAATCTGCACTTAAGGATGTCACGATCTCCAAATGTATTGCTCTGTAGACTGCGCATGTAAACAGCACCACCCAGGCTTTAGTCCTTTTCCTAAGAATAAGGGGACCACACAAGTCAATTCCGGTGACTTCGAAAGTTCGAGCGTCCCGTACTCTGTCTAAAGGTAAATGAATAGGTATGGTTGAAGGTGACTTTGTTGTGAATCTCTTGCAGGTAATGCATTTCTTGATTATTGATCTAATTGTTTGTCTAGCTGAAATAATCCAATATTCTTCTCTAATCATTGACATGAGCATTTGAACACCGGCATGAGAATTCTTTTTATGGTATTCGAGCACTAGACTTTGCACAATATGATGCTTTGACGGAAGTAGAATTGGATATTTAAATCCAAATTCATCATCTCTTGCGAGAATCTTTGTTTTCACTCTTATCAGTCCTATTTCATCTCTGACGACTGAAAGACCATTTATTACATCTCCAGTCTGAGAAAAACTTTCACGTTGAACTAGTAGACTCAAAGTGTTTTTTGAA